TTGACCAAGGGTATGGAAATGTCTCATAATCATGAGATGTGCCCAAAATGCTATTCCTGTGCAAGAAGCCTCTAGAATCGATCTTCTTCAAAGCAGGAGCAACATAGCCAATCCCTCCCATTTTCCTTCGTTTTGGGGTTTAAGATTAGCAGTCAATTAGTAGAAAGAGTGAGCAAAGAGCTATAAAACACACCCTGTCCTCTGTGACCTCCTCTGTTCTTTGCTGACCCAGAAGATGGACATGCCCAACATGCTCTGTATCAGACACCGCCAGGCTTGGTTCCCTTGCACCTGTCATTCTTAATACCATATGCTAGTCCCAAAGATGTTATCTGATATTCAAAAGGGACAGAAGAGGAAATCCAAAATCAGTGCCAAGCCAAGCATCTTTCACAAGTCCAATAAGATCTGGGACAAGGTCAACTAAGCACCATGGAAAGGAGACAGGTCTCAGCTCCACTCTTTCACGCGCATCCTCAGAGACAACTCTCTACCTACCTAACTACTCCTAGGCAGAATTTTTGACTGTTGGCTTACCTGGAAGAGACCTCCAAGATAAACATAATTTCCACTCTTCAAATGGTGGTAGATTGCCTGAGGCCTCGCCTCAGTCCTCAGGAGAAAAGTACCTAGGGCCACTACCAGCACTCAAATTTCCTCCCGAAATTTTTAATGGTGGAGTGTAACACAGGCTCAGGCCAAACCCACAGGCTCTAGGAAAAGCCCAAAGGACTAGCAGCATCCAAACAGCACCTTAAACTTCAGTGTCTTGAATTCAGTCCTAGCTGAGGTCAGGTCTGCCTAACCGATCTATCTAAGGCACACAGTCTTCTCCCTGAGCCCCTGGAACACAGTGTCAGGAATCTTCGTGGTGGTATTTTTGGTTGAGCAATGGCTCACTCTCACTGTGAAGCATGAATCTGTTCCTTCCAGGCCTCCAAGGATGGCTCATTATCAAGCTAGGAGAAGTTTAGATCTTCCTGCCACTGGCTGTCCTTACACATGTGCACAGAGAGCCTCCCATGCTTGTAAGTTTCCATTAAACTTTCTGTCCTTAAAAAGAACACAAATGAGTTACCAAGATCCTCTCCCATCCTTTTTTTTTGGCGAAGCATTAAATATACACAATTCTCTACCCCATTTTCAATGGAGATGCAGTGTATGCGGTTTTGACAGCTCTGCAGCAGTAAAATGCTCCTGGCCAGTCTCCGCCCAGGAACCTTCCAGCTCCCCTTTCCCTGGGGCAGCAGGCGACCATCTCCTCTGGGCTTTGTTGGTATCCGTTTTAGCCCACCCCCCCTTTTTTTCAGTGCCTTGCCATTTCTCTTGATCTTTTTCAAAACTTCCTCCAGGGGGCCGAGAGGAAAGTTCCATCCCCTTCGCTTGCAGCCCGACGGGGGAAACCCCCCAAAAGCATAGCTGTCCCTTTAAGGGGCCCATGTGGTGGGAAGAGCAGCTACATTCCTACCCCAGTAGGGCCGCTGCCCCGACACGCCAGCGAGGCTGCAAATAACCTTCCAGGAGAGCGCC